GTAACTACTACGGATGGAACGGCCGTACCCGAAAAGGTAAAGTTTTTAACTTTACAGTACCTTAAATATTAGGTTAGAACTTGTAATTTTAAAATCTATTTTTAGATATTTCTACAAGAGTAGAGAGGAGGGTATAATCAGTTGACTAATGTTATTTCTCTAAACCCTGGTTTGATTGTAAGGCAGTTTAAGCAAAACTTTTAACATCTGAACCACTTTGTTGCCATATCCAGTAACAATAAATTAACTACACCTGTCTTTAACAAGTATATTGTAGTTAAGGATAAACGCATGTGACAAATAAGCAGACTTAAAAAAGCTTGGGCCTTTAACATCTCTAGCATTAAGAAAATAAAATACCATGTATCAATCTGGCACGATTGCTAATATAAAGATCTCGATATTTAATAATAATCATTCTTTGACTTGCCCTGAAGTAATAAATATGCAGTAGTTTCGAATGACTTGCCTTTTATGGTGTTCAGTAAATTTGCGGAAGTGGTTACCTATATTACATTTAATCCATATTGAAATTTAGCATATTTATTTTAACCTAAACATATTTATACTAAACATAAAATATATGTTAACATAAAAGCTTTAGAATATGATAAGTTCATAAATGTAAAAGAAACAATACAATAATTTTCTAATTTAATTAAAGCTTACAAAATTATTATGCCCAAGGCATAATAAAACCTTGAACAATACGTCGATATTGTTAACGATTAAAGCACTTGTACATTTGTACATTAGTTTTGCATTAGCCCAACACCATACACATACGCCCGATTTGATAAACAAATTAACAACTCGACGTGATTCGACAAATAAATACACAGAATTTGGTAAATATAGAAAGGAACGCGTGATACGTTAGGAATATTGAAGTAGAGGTGCTTAAAAAAAGAAGGCAAAAAAAAAAATGTAGGAATAAAAAATCCATACTGCTACGGGTTACTTTAACATATCTACAAAACATAAACGAAATTATTATTAATCAATTAAAAAGAATCAAAAATTTTTTGCGTTAAACTTATTCATTCTTATTTGTCTTATTCATTCTTATTTGTGTAGTCGGTTTGCGATTGCATATTTTTACTTCTATATTCCTGAGTGTAAACACGTGCTTCATTTTCGTTGAAAGATTCGGTATCTTCCGAATCACTGCTAGAGATCTCGATTGTTGCCTGAGGAATGTCTACACTAAGCTGATTATGCAAATTGTTATTGGAGACTTTCCTATAATATGCTTCCTTACGAATCGGAATTTTAATTCCCTGTTTGGTGAAAGCCTTAGAAAGCTCGGTTGATTCTAATTTGAAGCATGAATTCTCATTTATCGATCATATTTATCATTCATGTTACCAAGCCTAGCAAACAAGCTCAAAACCTGAGATAAATATTAATTGATAATCTTCGTACCTGTCATACCCGGAAATTTCTTTGCAGAGTAAACTTTGAAAGGTGCACTATACACTTCAGCTGCAACGCTTCCACGGGTATTTGTGAATTCATCAGGAGATCTACTTATGATTTAATTAGTCAATATGAAAAAAAACGAACATTATGTATTAAAGATCATAAAACTTACTGGACCATGAATTCTTTAATGTTACAAAAAGAGAATTTTAAGGTAAAAGAACCTTCAGTTCGAACAGAAAGGTCCTGAAATATAAAATAAATTCCCTTTTGACCAAGATGATCATTGAGCACATACGCGGACGATGTGCAATGACCCATAAGGTTTCGAGTGCTTAAAGGCACATTCACTGGCATGATGGTTGAGCTAGGATTATCGGATTTAGCAAACATGGATGTAGGATTGACTACTAAGCCACGTTCTTCCTTGCAATCTTTGGACCATAGACCAACGTGAACAACCATCATAGAATAATCGATAGAACTGTACATTTAATTTTATAATGTGATCAATTTGAAAGTATTTTTGGTGACAACGAATTGGCAATCGAGGTTTAACTTATACTCACAAATATTTAAGGTACTGTAAAGTTAAAAACTTTACCTTTCGGGTACGGCCGTTCCATCCGTAGTAGTTACGAGAAGCTTAATAATGGGAGGAGGATCAATTGTACGACGATCTTTATCTCCGAAGCCACACATTCTTGCTCGTATAGGCTCTTGAGAAACTTCTAACTGATATTTGTAACTGTAATAGCCAAAATTTTTAATTAATTCTCGCATTTAATATTTGTAAAATTATCATTAAATATTTGCCGGATGATTTTTTATTTTTAATAAAAAAAGCAAACTGATAAAAAAGCTTAACGCATACGTAATTGGTTCCGGGGGAGACCCTACCATAAAATGCGTATGCCGGCTAGAAACCGTCATTACTGGAATAATTTTTAGCGAAAGGATGGGAAAACGGAATATATTTAAAGGTTTGAAAACACTTGAACAACGTACGTTAACACATTTGTTATATATGTAAACAAATACCTGTATTATGATCTTGGACTGCAACTGGTACATAGTACCCGGTTACGATAATACATAAAAAGCTATCCCAAATATGTACAGATGGATGCCCTTTTTTCTATTTACGCATCAATGCCGCATTAATTTTCATTTGCAATTACTAGCTTTAAATTGCTAGGAAAAAATATTGGCTAAAGGTTTATTTTAACCTGTTCATGCTATAGCTTTATTAAAACTGGTCATAAAAAAACCTGTCAAGAAATGGCGCAACTACACTTCCCATCGTAGAATTCGTTTCTTTGTGAATCGTGATTGAACAATATTAAGACAAGATCAGCAGATTAGTTGCGTAATCGGCGTAACGTTAATTGATTTAAATCAAATTCACATTATTATGTAACATTTCAGGTTTAACTCGGTGGACATTTGATTCGATCAAGTATTACACGCCTCATTTTGACTAAGCCACAAAGGGAATTTTTTACGTACGTACTAGTGATGCCGAGATAACCTTTTAACGGCACTATGTTTTGGTTTTATCACGTGGTAAAACTGATTTTAACATTTATC